CGTAGGATAAATGTACTTCGCGGGAGTGTATTAAAAAATTAAAAAACTTTCCAAAGCTTCATGGCAATCGTACTATGCCACAAACCTTTGCTGGAGTATATTAAACAACTTCCCAAAGTTTCACGGCAATCGGATAAACGGTGTGGTAATGCATGAAGGACACACACACACACACACACACACACATTCATTTTTATATATATAGATGATGTCCTCTCCACAGTAGCAGTATCCACTATTGAAACATTTCTGAAGATGAACTGTTTGATCTTAATATACTTGAATGTTTCTTCTTGTGTATTTTAAAGTTTTTAACTCTACTAAAGCACTATGATTTTTACTAGAATGGAGTTCTAGTTTATTTTAATAAAATAGTTTATTAAACATTAAATGTTCACTAAATACACTTTATTAAATAAGGTCATTTTAATTTATCAGTGCCTAAATTTTAGTTTATATTATCCAAAAATATGTAATTGTAAACTTTCCAAAATTTTGCATTTATGGTAGTTTACAATTACATATTTTTGAGAAAGATTCTCACTGGAGAAAAATCCTTTGCTGATAATTATGTGCACCAAGTTGTTCTATTATGAACAATATAACAGAACTGTTTTAAAGCACTAGTTTAGATTATTTAGATTAATAATGATAATGCCTCATCAGAGCCACATTTGAGAGCTGATAATTAAAAAAGTTTGAAAATACCCATTTATCTGAAGAGAATGATAATTATAACTCTGATGACAATAAGCAAAGTTTTACACATGGCTAGATGGACAAACAATTAAGGTGTCAGGCTTTTGGAACTGGGACCTAATTTGGACAAATAACTCCAGGAATTTTTTATGGATGTCTGAGATATGACAGACATACACACACTCACTACTTGGCCAATCCTACTGTGGGCCAGGTTGAATTCCTAATAGACATGGAAAAAGGCCCTCAGTATCCACAGGGCATAAAAAACCAAAAATGAAAAGAAAAAAAAAAACAAAGTTTTATAAGTATATTTTAACTTATATGTTTTTGGACAAACTAAATCAGATAACAATATCTAATTACAGTAAGTAGATTTGAATACTGAAATAAAAAAAATACTATAATAGCATAGAAAGTATAATATAAAAAAAGAGTTCAAGTATTTTTGAACACTCATTTAGTACTGTAGCTTTTTTCTATGCTTTCTATGCTAATTTATTATTATAATTTGATATTTTGAAGCATTAATTTTAGTCGATAAGTTCAATTTTGCCATTTATTCATCCAAATGAATTTAATCAATATCTATAAAAAATGAAAATAAAATTGATTAAATCAATTCATAGTAGTTAAGATTTTAACATTAAATGAATATTTAAATGTTTTTAGTTTAAGAAATTTACAAAATGTAAAATTTATANTAAAAAAAAAAAAAAAAAAAAAAAAGGTGGCTAGGGGAAAGCATAAGAATAAAATTAATCAAGTAAATTCTAGATCTAAAAGAATAAGAACAACTCAGATCTCTGAAGGCCGACTTGAGCAATATTGAGTAAGAATGACTTTGTCAAGGGCTGCAAAAACAGCATCACAACATCAAGCTCAACTAAGTAAATAGAAATATTAGCAACTCTTCTTGAATTTCTTTGAAATCTTCTCAATTCTTCAATCTCATAAAAAGTATTCCATCATGCTTGATGGAGGAATTTCAAGTATATATATATACAGTAGAGCATCGATTATCCGAATGTCGATCAACCAAAACATGAATTAACCAAAAGCTTTCCAGTCGGCAAATTTAAATTTCCGCTAGTGCTGTGGCACTGCAATCTTTGGCCATGTCTGTCTTGGGCTACTCCAATATTATTTTTGTTGGTGTGTGTGTTTTATCTGGCAGCCCTGGCATGACCATGAGAGGGTACTTAAGGACCTGAACAAATTTCAACATGGAATAGGTTAATATATTTTCGTACATAATTGGTTATCTGAAAAATCAATTTTCCAAACAACCCAGTCCCAAATTGATTTGGATAATTGATGCTCTACTGTATAATATACAGGGTGTATAATTCATCCATATCCCAGAAAGATGTTTTAAAAATTTGGGGGATTGTAGAGGATGAAATTTTGAACATTTTGATATAAGGAACCTATCAAACATTTGAACATTTTGATATAAGGAACCTATCAAACATTTGAACATTTTGATATAAGGAACCTATAGCTGGAAATGTGATATAAAGTTTCTACAGCACTTTGCACGTTCTATGCTGTCGGTATGCCAAATGAAACAGCAGAATACAGTATTTATGACAAGTTTTATTGACAAAAGAGTAGAGTACAATCAAACTGTACATCGAATCAGTGGCTGCACTACTTAAGAGTAAATGTTCAATGTGACAACCACCAACTTCGTTACATAATCTGCAACAACAAACCATGTTTTGTCCGACACTCTCTAAGATGCCACGCTCTCCTCTGATGATATTAAATGCTGTATACAGCATCCTGTACACAGGCTCAGTTAGACCACTGTAGTTGTGTGTTTACAGTCTTCCATCCGCAGCAATAACATGATGTCAATGGATGGAAGGGTAGCTACCAAAGTGAAAGGCAGTCAAGAACTTCCTACTACTGTAGACACTTTATATCACATTTCTGGCTATAGGTTCCTTATATCAAAATGTTCAAAATTTCATCCTCTACAATCCCCCAAATTTTTAAAATGTCATTCTGATACACCCTGTATATATATATATATACAGGGTGTACACACACACACACATATTGATATATACATACACTTGGATTAAGTAATGTAATGTAAATTAATTAGATTAGTTAGTTTTAAATAGTATTTTAATACTTATTTTTATGCATTAATTTGAATTTAAGCTGTTGATCTATTGTATAACATTCAATGTTCAATTACAAGAATTTCTATAAATGAAGCTGGCCTAAAAAACTTAAAACATTTAGCTATCTGAAAAAGCAGTATGAATTTCCATTTTTACAATACGGTGCCAATAGCTTGCAATTTTAGAAGCAGAAGAAATTACTTTATTTTTTAGTTTTTCAGCATTGTTTGAGAAAACTTATATATCACTAATACACAACATTTACCCATTAGCTTTGATTTTCACCTACTACTAGGTACCTGTACTTACAATTTGATGTTATTATTAATTAAACCTATTGCTTCACTTACACAATAACTATTGTTAAAAATGATACTTCAAAAGAACAGAACAACAAAAAATAATGGATGAATTATAATTAATAAATCTTCAGGTAATATACTTTTTAATTTTTCTAGCATATTTGTTTTATAATATCAGGATCATTAGAACCAGAATTTCCACTTATTGTAGCCTTATTTATTTATACCACTTAATGTCATCTGTATAGGCAATTCCAAAGTGATTACAATAAGAATTTACTTATAGTATATAGTATATTAATCAAATTTTGTTAAATTTTTAACATTTGTAAAATTTTTAAAAATTAACATTGTTCTTTTTATAGATACATTTTAAAATGAACACTAGCTTACCTTATAATATCACTTATGAGAATACAATCTTCAGTTAGCAATAATCCTAAATAACAGAATGCTACTGTCTTTTCCATTGACATAACATCATCGAATTTCATACTTTTTGTTCTTCCTTTAATTGGAGTTTTATTTTTATTTAACTAAATTCAAATTAAAATAATTAAACACAATGAAAATTTTTTGTTAACTGACAGAAAATCATTTATTTCTATAAAAAGTCTCTCACCATTTTATTTTTTGTTGCTTGTTTACTATACCTTAAATTTTTCCCAGAAACCTTATCATTTTCTTGATTTTTTTCATTTTTATCACTTTTATTTGCAAGATCATTTCTTGTTCTAACAGCTGTGTTGCCATTTCTATTCTAAAATTATAATCATATAAAAACAATTAATTATTAGTTGATATTATAATTTTTATTTTAAAATTATATTCAATTAAATATACTTTTATGAAATGTACATAAATTGAAATTGAATTAATGCAACATAAATTAAATATTTTTACTTTTTATCTATATTATATGAGGATGTTTCAATAAGTAATGCCTTTCATTTTTTTAAACAAACATTTTAATGTGTACACAAAAACATGAATATAGTAAATGAAGTATGAATTTCTGAAAACACTATTGCATAATAGGAACACTTGTGTTGCCTGTTGTACATTTCAGACAAATAGAAAAAAAATAGCATGCATGCTATCATTGTCCATGCTCCAAGAGCAGCTAAGTGTTATTTGTTTTCTATGGGCAAGGGGCAAGAAATGAATAAATTCTTGCTGAAATGCAGAAAGTGTAGTAACGATTGTGTAGTGCAAAATGTTTAAAAATGGTCATCAGTGTGTGATTGATGAGCACAGGTTAGATTGTCCGGTAAGAGCAGCTTCGCTTCAAACAGTCACTGCTGCTGATCAAATGATTCAAAGCAACCGCCACATTCACTTGAAGACGCTGTCAGAAAAATTGCTTAGTGTATTGTTTGGTCCTTCGAAGAAATTCCTGGCTGGAGAGAGATTCCATTCTGACGAGGAGGTTAAAACAGCTGTTTGCAGGTGGATGTATGGCCAGGAACTGGCATTCTATAACACAGGTGTATCTTCAAGCAGGGACACCGCTGGGTAAAGTGCTTGAACCTGAATGGTTTCTATGTCAAGAAGTAGCCAAATCCACATATTTCATTTCATATTTTCTGTATTTTCCATATGCATTAAAAATTTTGCTTAAAAAAATAAAAGGCATTACTTATTGAAACCCCTTTGTACATATAAATAATCAATGTATTATTTTATTAATTTTATTGTAAAATAACAGGATGATTCTTATATAAAAGGAAGGTCAACTTCATATTATTTACTAATTCATCACTTCACCTCAAACCTTTCCTAATGTGTTCTTATGTTTATTCTTCATAACATCTTTGAGCAAAATTTCCTCCCATCATCATCAGTACATCATTTAATTACAAAACTTAAAACATAAAAGTAACAAATTTGGTTTTGTTTTTACGTTAAAACTTCTTATGTTATATTAATTTAAAATTTTAATTGATTACAAGATACTTTTTCTTTGGAACAAAACATAAAATATGTAAAAAAAATATACTCTATGTTCTGTTTCAAGGCAAAACAGTTGTTCCGTATGTTTAAATGCCTGAGTGGAAGTCCTTAATTACAAAATTTTCCAGTACTTTTCACCAATTAAAGTTATGTATGATTCATTTTGATGTTTAAAGAAAAAATTTTTAGTAAATGACATAAATAATTATATAGCTTAACTTAGATAGGAAGCTAAAAACTTTAAACAGATAAAGTATTTTCAATTAATTATGTGATCATTCTCAGTATACAAAAACATATAGAGGATGTTGAATCAT